TGATATTTCGATCACAAATTATCCTTAAAGAGCTTTGTTTCATGTTAGAAAAGAAAGTTTTTTGCACACCTATAGTTTTACTCTTAAGAGCCGTCAAGCGAGGCTAAAAAAGAGTTGGGTATTTTAAAACGGGGTTAAGTCAGAACTCATAGTTTTAATTCATATCATGTACAGCATGCCACCCCATTACAGCTGTATTTTTATAACTGATTTGACACAAAAACTCCATACAAAACTATAAGCGCTTTTTAGAGTTGACGGGCGAGTAGGATGGCCGAGAATAGGCAAATACGCAAAAGTACTAAGGAAATATTGAGGAGTGAATTTAGGTCGAAGAATAAAACAGGCAAGCAAAAGTTTATATTTAACAGATAGCTTTACCACTCAACGTTCTTTATGCCAAGAATTGGCTCATTTGGGCCTTCTTTACAGATAAAAGATAAATTTGAATGAAACCATGTAATTCGAGTAGCCATAAACAAACACGTTTTCGGGGAAACCAAATTCACCTACCTTCGCGTCACCTCGACGTGCTCACAGTATATAGTAGCTGTAAACTCAAACCTCGGCAGGACGAAAGACAAGGAATCAAGCTACCTTTGGAAAGAATTGCTCCATCTGTCTTGGCTAGTAACTCTGTTCCGTTCATCCCATATAATTTGTTGGGTGTGGCGTGTGGATGTTATAGACAGACTAGTGTCATTACCTACCCGCTTCAATTTGCTATAGCTGTTTGCGGGTAGTTATATATTTCTGTAACTATTAGCTGTTTTGAATAAAATATTTTTGTTGTTGTTGTTGTACTTTTAAATGGAGGCACCTCTATTAATTTTCTAAGATGTTTTCATCCCCATCAAGCACACCACTGAAGGATCTGGTGGGAGAGGGTTCTTCCTGATTTATCATCCCAAGTCATTCTTAAACTCTCGTAAAGAGTCAGTAGTCAATAAATTAAAGGAAACTAAAGGGTAGTCCACACAAAATGTTCTGATAATTTAAAATTTATTCTGAGGTGAACTCAACATTGTTTGGCTATCAAACAGTTGTGTACTATTGTTTATAAAAGTGAACTAACTATAACTTATCATCCTCAGAAAGACCAAATGGCAGATACAGCCTCATCAGGCAATATTTTGCGGGATATTTATTAAATATGTGTTTGAAAATATAAATACTTGTATTCTGGGTAGAACGTATTCCGTAGAGCGCTCAATTCATTTAATTGAAGAGCATTGACTATTATTGACTATTATTGTTTGAAAATATATGTACATCAGGTACATGTATGTGTGTTGCTGTGACTATACAATATTTTGTCATAAACAGGCTTTGCAGTGATTATTTTGATCTCAAAATACAAGTAATATTTCTCTAAACTCACTCTACTTTGCTGTACAGTTTGACTACTGGTTTATTTAATTTGTGGTGTAAAGGTCGAATTTCTAGACTGAAATATACCAGTTTTTGCCAAAAACCTCAATAAAAAAAAGAAAAAGAACCTACCTAAAATCGGGAGACTGTCTTTTTTCCACTACCCCCCCGGAATTTCAACCACCCCCCTCCCCCCCCCCGAAAAATTGACCCAGTCCCCAATGGGAATGACTTAGGACATTATATGACGTCTTACATGATGTCCATACTATCAAAATTCGAAATGCTAGAAATAATCTTTGTCAATGAGTAGATACGTGCAAAAATACCCCAGAAACCGTACTGCGAATAAGAAAAAATCAAGTTTTGAGCTAAAAATGGGCTAAATCTCAAACTAAGTCTGTTTTATTTTTTACTAAGTATTCAATATTTATAGTGGACGTAAAAAGCGGGAGATTTATGTACCAAAGCGGGAGAGCGGGAGACGAAGCAAAAAAGCGTGAGAGTTTACATCCC